GATACCCAATCGCGGGGCTGTTGGGCCGCCCGCTGTGAGACACCCGCCCGTAAAGGCCTTGGCACAGCGCCCAGATCGCTACCCTCACGGGAACGGGGGTAGACGTCACCCATGGTGGAGTCTAGGGCTCAACTGCGATCCTTCTGTAGACCTCAGAACTCACCAGTCAGGGCTGACCCTGGGGACCTAGGTGTAAAACCCCTCCCCCACAGGCACCCCAAAAGGGGAAATCTGCGGAGGGAAGGGAACAGGAAGTTTTAGTGGCTGGGAGAGATTCTGAAAAGGCTTTCCCAGGCAGCCCTGGTGGGTACAAGAGGCAAGGGCAGTTGGATTCACCTAACTGGCCTCCACCTCCCTGAAAGGGGACGCGGGAAGAAGGGGAGTGCCCTGGCCCACGGCTCCCTGCGTGACCTGGAGCCCCTCCAGGGCTTCGTCTGCCAGTCTGACCAAGGGTAGCAGACGACAGGCTCTGAGAGGGCCTTTGAGGCCCTGACCTCAGGGTTCTAGGAGCCCGTCATTGTAAGCAGCCTGACCTGGGGTGGGGTGGGGGTGGGGAGGGTGTTCCCGGCTCCCCCTCCCCCACAGACTGCAGCAGGAACCAAGGCCCAAGCGCCTTCTGAAGGCTCGGTCACAAAGCGCGGTGGTCGGTCACCGGTTACCACATAAGCCAAGCCCTTGATCTGCTGTGTTTGAGGAAACTCTTTGTTCCTTTCAAGCCTCTATTCTCTCAGCTGGGGCTGGTGCACAGACCGAAGCAGTGAGTTTGCTCTTTCTTCCTTTTCTTTTTGGATTTTTAAAAATAACCGGCTTGTGTGTGCAGGCAGCATTCCAGAATTGGGTTCCCAGGCTGGGGTTCAAGGCCAGGCACTCCAGCAGCCCCTCGCTCCCGGGAAGGCCTGGGCGGAGGGAAAGCCAAAGGGCCGGGTGAGGAGGCAGGGCATGCAACCTGTGCCCCAGAGAGACTGAGGTTCGGGAGCCAGCCCGGGAGGGCCCACACTGGTGCCCTCCCACCGGCTTCTGGACTTTAGTTTGTCAAGGGTAAGATAAGAGCCAATCGTGGAGACAGCTGCCTCTCTCCCTTGCTGGGTCCGTGCCAGACATCGCTGATCGATCGCCCTCCCCCACGGAGCTTGGATGAGCCCTGAGAATCCTTTTCAGCTCAGTGCTCTCTCTGGGTGTCTAAACACCAATAGGATTTGGCTTGCAAACAGACCTACCTTCCATCCCGGGACATGGTTATCTCTGAGAGGCCAACCCAAAGTAGGCACTCGATAAATATTTGTTGGATAAGTAGACTTTCCTTTTCTTTTCTCTCTCTCTCTCTTTTTTTTTTTTTTTT